TCAACAAAGAAAGTTTTTTTTTTCCGTCTTTTGGACCTCCACAATGTCGCTCCGTACCTGAAATTTTGAAATATGAACATCATCGTTAGTTGGTAGGAACAAGTGTCAAAAACATTTAAGGGCCAAGTGCAAATTAAACAGCAACAATTTACACAAATAAATAAAAAAACATCTGATATTATGGTCATTTAAAGAAAGCCATATGATAAAGAGTAAAGTTTCTCAAGAAGAGACTACGAGGAGAAGGATCCTTACTATGACACAAAGAGATTGCAGAGATAAGAGGACCATAATTTCCTCTGCTGGGAATGAGTGTTGTCCCTTTCCCTGCCCAATACAACCGAATCTCTAATGTATGATCGGTCACATTAACATCTTTCTTTATCACAACAGGCGTCAGAGTCCCATTAGCCTTCTCTTTAATGTTAAAATCCTTCAAGAACAATACTCCCTAACAAGCGAGAAAAAGGACAAGCAATTAAACACATTAATCTTCCATGCGATTATTCTTTCAAAGATGATTACAAACGTAAATATTGATGTTTTACCTGAACATAGACATCAAAAATGCGCTTACCGACATGACTGTATAATTCTCTTTCTGGAAACTGGATCTCCATAAAATGGAGTGTTACATTGTAGAGTCCATTTTTCAAGCAGAATGCATAATAAGTTAGAGAGATAGCAGATCGACGTGCAGTCTTATAAAGATCAGGAGAAACTCCAGATCGACGTATATTCTTATCAAGGTCATAAAGATCTCCAGGTGCTGCTGAAACAAAGTACATATCATGAGTGTTTGCATTGTCGGTAAAGTCACCTGTGTTACTGATTCCCCAGTGTTCCAACTGCTGATTTGTTGCAGCGTTGGTTTCATTGTGATCAGCTTGATATGTTATTTTACCCCAGGAGTTTGTAATAGTTACACGTTCTCCACCACAGTTTATATGTAGCCATCGCTCATCTACAATCCATAACACCATCAGTAGAATAAGTAGAGGCTGTCCGATTTCTTAATGTTAAGAAAGAGGGAATCAACAAAAGAGATTATGTCAATGCAGGTTAGAGATAAGTTAGAACGGCTCAATATGTACTTACAGTTCGTGCATTTGATTAGACCAGCACATGGAAGAAGCCCAGTTCTGTATGACGAGACGATCATAATATTTAGGCATCTCATCAGCACAAGACATTCAAACCATTTCTATAGACGTAGACGAAAGCAAGAGACAGCTAAGTTTAATATGTTCTTGTTGCAACATAAAGCAGAGTATACTTACAGATTTTTCTTCAAATATGAGCTATTGTATGTGTTAATGTAACTGATTCAACAAAAGGTGAGAACAGAAACGTCAGGATAAGCAAGTTTATAACCAAATAGATGAAGATGTATTCTACCAACCAAGATTTCATGCTTGTACCTCTTTCCCTGGCAGCTAGCCGACAATGAGAAATTATTGTAAGAGAGATCACTGTGAAGATCCACCAAATTAATATGGAAAACCGACAAGAAGATTAGTTGACATGGCAGCAAAATTCTCAAACCATACAAATACAAACAAGGGAAAGTTTGAAACGTACATATTAAATTTGCTGTTGAGTAAAGCACCAGGTTCAATGTTTCCAGAAAGCATATTGCCAGTCAAATAGCTGAAAGAACATGTGGAATGGAAAATTATATAGAATGATTATGTAGTTAGTATTCACATCAACAGATCTCATATTATAGTACTTACGTAAATTGGTATCCGTTTTGTACTCCTTGAACTTCACCAGTCAAATTGTTAAATGATAAATCACTGCGGATGTCAAAATAAACGGATTTCTTTTGATAGAAACGTAACTGTGTAGATACTGTATAAATCTGTTTATATAAACCTATCTGATATTCTGCAAAAGATAATAAATAGATCCTTTCAAACTTGGATATCACTCTCACAACCGGTTACTTTCTTTTCCTCTACAATGTTTTTAATGTGCTTACCCATGAGACCATGATAGAATTTTTTTTAAGTAACTTTACGACGTAAGAAGCAAAAAGAAGCTTTTCTTTTTAAATATAATTTTAATAACTTACAGAGTCTTTAGGTTTGGCATTTTCCAGATGTAAGCAGGAATTGGACCAGACAAACCCACATTCCTCAATGTCCTGGAACAGGGACTGAGACTTGAGCTTGACATTCTCAGATAAAATCTAGAAATAGAAAGCTTTAGTGGTAAATACATACAAGTGTTTGATGACTTTGCTAGATATACTCGTAAAGGAGTTTATCCCTGTTGTATCACTTATACGCCTGCATACAAATATAATACTTAAGACATCAGCTTCATTCGATGTCCTTTTGCTAATCTATTGAATATAGTTCATTACAGTTCTTTGAGATTTTCTAGGCCAGCCACTGCATCAGGAATAGGTCCTTTCAATCCACTTGCATACAGATGTCTGTTGATCATAACCAACACAAGTTAGACGGTGCAGAAACGCAAACCATAAGAGAAATTAGAATTTGGACGAAGGACAAGCTTACAGGTTTTCAAGGCGAAGCCAGTTCCCAATATATCCCGGGATTGTACCATTTAAGTTATTGTCACTTACCCTACTACATTATGAAAACAAACAACTAGTTTAGAACTTTGTAAATGGACTAGTTCATAGGTTTTCTTGACTATCTATTCAACTAGTGAGGTGAGCATTTCGTAAATGTTAAATCATTCTTCATACTAGAAAGAAACAAAGCATATGTATATAAATTCGAGGAAGCATATATATAAGGTCAACACAAAAGCTTTAAACCAAACATGTTTCAGTTCAATCTACGTGCCAATATTTTTTTTGCAAAATGTATCCCCTTGGGAACTTCATGCGTTTACTAGAGCATTTCCAGTTAACAAAAAAAGGCAAAAAACCTTTTGAAATTTTCTAAGTAGAGCAGCAACTTACAAGTCCTCGAGTTTTACCAGTCTAGCTAAAGAGCTAGGCAAGTTTCCTGTAAACTGATTGGACCCAAATTGCCTGCAAAATCCATTTTCAGAGAAAATTACATTTTTCCATCAAACCCAAAAGAATAGTGAGAAAATGGTAAAGATGCAGCAAAGGGTCTTACAATCCTGTTAGGCTGGTCAAGTTACCAAGCTCATCAGGAATCGAACCAGAGAACTGGTTGGCTTCAATCCCTCTGGAAATTTCATCACATTATTGAAATATTACATGTAATAATAAAAAAAAAAAAAGGACAGATTCTGTAGCTACATATGGCGAAAACAACAATTTGAGAGACCTACAGGAATGTCAGATTCTTGAAGTTCTGTAATCCAATTGGTAATTTCCCAGACAGATTATTGGCACAGAGCGAGCTGCGAGAAAAACAAAAATTGTAACAACATCTCCAATCGCAAGAAACATATATTTTTTATTTTAATAATTGTTATTTAATTTAATTATTTAAATTATCACAAAATATTGAACCAATAACATAATAACAAGTGGCAGTTAAATTTCTTAAAAAAAATTAACATTGATTTTAATTGTAGAGACTTTTTTCTTTATCTCCCCTACTTTTACAATATATTTTTTTAATTTTAATTCTTTAGATATTTTAGAAGAAACTCCATTGGGGGTGCTCTAAGTTACTCGCAAACCATAATAAATATGAAATATCAGAGAAAGAGGGAGAGATAGAGGGCTAACATGGAAGTGAGGTTTGGCAGTAAAGCCCATTCCATTGGGATTGTGCCCGAAAGGTGATTTCTGCACAAGTCTCTGCAACGAAGAACAAGGAATCGCTTGAGACTTTGATCATCAAAACTCTGCAAAGAAGATTCTCTTGCTACACAGTTTTATGTTGATTTCTCCATTTTTAGGTCGTTTTTCAAACTCAAGACGAGAATCCCAAAACCGTAATAAACTAGACGATTTCAAATTTGAATTAATTCGAAACCATACCAAAAGAACCAATTTGCTAACTCCATCAGAG